TGCATGTACTCTCCGTATATTGGTGTGCGTAATGCAGCTAAAATTTAATTAGATTCCATATTAGCCGCTGCACCAAATTTTCAAAATTTCAATTGTTCAAATATTGGCAAAAATTGTAAAGTTTTTAAAATGTAAAATTAGGTATGCAAATTTATTAAACTAATAATAACTAAGATACCCTTTTGCTCAACCAATGATTAATGTTTCTCTTATGCACTTGTTAGGGCTTTATTTTGAATCCTTTTCTTTGGCTGGAAGCAAAAGTTGCCAATACCCTAAATCAGTGGCCAAAACTCGCCGCTGCTCTGTAAAGTCCCGCCCCCTTCAAAAAAACCCCCTTTAACAAACCCCTTACAACCCAATCCATCCCCCTTCCCCGTTCCTACTATTTGCGCTAAACGAGCTTTGCATATTTACTGTACTAGCAGCAGACATTTTACGATATATTGAGAATTATTTGCAATATATTTCGCAACGGGCAACAGCAGCAGCAACAAGGACGACAAATGTTCCACCGATGGCAGCAGGCAGCAGCAGCAACAACAAGTGCACTGTTCAGTGGAAATGCAGGCAGGGAAAGCTTCTAATTCCGGCACTGAAACCATAAGTCTTTGTCGCATTGTACACACACAGATATTTGCAAAATACACTCGACAACACAGACAGAGAGGCACTGGAAAAAAGTCTTTAGGGGTAGGACAAATTCTACCAAAATAGGGATATATTTTCTAAGGAAAATTATATTCATTCCGAAATATTTAGACACATTTTAATTAAAAACTAATGTACCCAATTTATTTCATAAAATTATGTTTAATAATTCTACTTCCTTATTATCATATTCAAAAAGATTTTCCAATATCCTTGCGCTTTAAAGATATTTTCTATGACATATTTTGTTGCTCTACATTCGAAGAATATAAATTTAAACAATATCTTTCATTTACCCCTTTTTTCTCACTGTGCACAGTGTCAGAGGGACAGACAGTGGTGAACTGTGCCTTTGTATTGGTTTGGCACCCGGCATTTCACCAACTACTACCAGGTTATAACCGAAAGGTCCTGTGGGTCCTAGGCCTGGGCATTCCAGGCACTCGGGATCGAGCCCTGAAGTTGCGCCAATAACTTTACGTTCGATACACAAGTTTCGCATATAAATTCGAAACTTATTTTTCTGTTTTCAAAGATTTTGTTTAATTTACGTAAATTTGCATAAGATACAATTGCGAAATCCTTGTGCTGCTCGCCTTTTTCGCCTCTGCGGAGTCTGTAAATTTGTGCGAAAATTGAGCCAAAGTTCAGCCGAGGCAGCAACAAACATTTCTTTCTCTCTTTCGGTCGTTTTTTTTTTTTTTGTGGATTTTATTGCCATGGCCTGGACTAAATTTGAATTCAGCTCAAATTGAAAGTTCACCAGCACACACAGATACATATGCATACTTGTATACCCGGCCAACGAGGACACACTCTCGCACAACTACGGACACACCGATATTTATGCGTTTTCGAATGCAGCTCAACTCAGCTTTAATTTAAATGGATTTCTCTGGCAGACATATGGCAGCATTTGCAATTTCCAAAGGGAAGTTGGGGAAGCAACGAGATGAATGGGGGGAAGGTCCATGGGTCCATGGGACTGACTCCTCCACTGACTGTTGAGGATTGATTGTGCTTGTTGATATTTTGTCAAATAACGCAAATAAATACACAATTACACACTCAAGTGAATCCGAGGCAGCATTTACCCGGTTGACCCCCCAGAAGGGGGTGGTTCCGGGGGGTTAAAGTGGGCGGACTACGGAGTCATGGGGTTAAACCGAGCATGGACGTGCTCTCTGTGTGTGTGTGTTATCCTCGTTTAAAGGATTTTCATTTGTTTAAATGTGCTTTATCGAAAATGGCCAAAAGGCCGCTGGCCATTGCTGTGTTTGTTTCAGCTTCTGTCCCCTGGTTTGCCATGTACAATTTATGTTCGGTCCACAGTGGTTAAAAAATACTGTGATTCAAGGGGTTAATTAGGGTTGTAGGAAAATAATACAAATTTTGGGTTAATAAGGATTTTTAAAATCGTTTTCTTTGAAACTGGATCGATTAAATTTAATAAATTAAAGAGTAAAGTAAAATGTTCCCCTTTATACTAAGCAGCATTTATACCACAAAAAGGATTGCCTACTTATTGGGGCTTGAGAGTAATTTAGAGTTGTGATGAGCACAGAGTGCTGTGTTTGCTTTATAAATATTTATATAGCTGTTTCTTATTATGTAGATTTTAAAATATAAAAAATTTACTTAATTTCAAATAAGTTACTTAATTTTCCCACTGTAAAAACCCATCTAAGACCCACTGTATCCCCCGACTTTTGACTTTTGTCAGTGCTTTGTTTTTGCTCTTTGCTGTGGCTTTTTTTCGGCGCACGCCCGTAAATTCCAATGTAAAATGTTGCATTTATCTTGTAAAAATAATAAATCCAGGCAAAGGGACTTTACTCTCTCACGCTTCGCAGGACAGCGAGTAACAGATTGTGCCGCTGCCCATCTAAGGGATGCGATCGGAAGAAAGGGTTCGCGATGGGGGATGAGATTTGGAAATGGGTTCCAGGACATTGTTAATGGCCGAATGGGTAAAGAGACGGAAATTTGGCTAATTTTATTAACCGTCAATGGAGTTTGTTTCGGGGAGATATAGCATATATAGTATATATTGCAAGGGCTGGGGGAAAGTGCCAACAAAAAATTAGTCAGCAGTCAGCAGTCTGTCCGCCGGCCATTAATTTAATTTATTTATTGGCTGCCGCGCATTTATTCCGTTTCCAATTCGAAAATCCCAAAACTGCAACGCGATAAATTCAGTGGAATGCGAATGTGAAAATTGTGTCTCTGCATTTCCACTGCACATGCACATGCCGAGGATTTTCATTATAAAATATTGCAGAGCGGGCGAGCGGGCGACTGTCGCAAAAGAGTTTGCAATTTATTTTAAAATAAAAGTATCTAAAAGCATGACAAATAGTGTGAGATATGTTTTTGCGCACTGCAGCAGCCGGTCGGTCGCCCCTGCCACATTTCTTTTTTCCCTTTTCCCCCTCCAATCCAGAGACATATGATGGGGCGCCGCTGATTTATTTGCATACAAAAGCGCACCAGACACACACACACACACACACACAAGCAACGAAATTCCCTCGGCCTGATTCCTCCCTTTTTTTTCACTCTCTTTTTTATTATATTTTTTTCTCATTTTTTATTTGTTTTATTTTTTTTGCGTTACGCCCATTTTTGACGCCAACGGAGAAGCGTCGATTGAGTTGGCTGCAGTTGCCAAAGTGGGCAGGGGTGTGGCCAAGGGGGATTTGAGGGGTTTGAGGTGACTGTGGGATGACAAAGAGCAGTTCATGAAAAGTATATTTAAAAGCAAATATCAAAAGGCGAGTAAAACTAAAATAGGTAGAGTGGCATTTTGACAGAAAACATGTTTTAAAATGAGGTTTTATGTCAAGAAAATAATTAATTTTACAGAGAATTATTAAAATTAATGTAAAAGCAAAAGAAAATAATAATCTCTGCACTTTAAATTTAAAATTTGTCTGTGTTTTAACTCATTTATCATATTTGTATTCAGTATCTTTATATCTTTAATTGATATGTAGATGCAATATAATTAATGTAGATACAATATATCTCCTTTTAATTATACTTTTTCTAATCAAGAAAAGTATGTATAAACTCTTCATGGATGTATAATAATTATTAAAAATTTCTATTAATATTTAATTTAAAAACTTCCTAAGATTTTTCCTGTTACAAAACCTTTATCATAAGGAAACCAATCCAGGAAAATATACCATAATCTACCTACAATTTTCCTTGTTTTTAAAGACCACACTCTCCCCTCGTTGTTTGTCTGCCTGCTCAATTCATCATTTGGCAACATTTTGCTGGGCGCCAAGTTGCATTTAGTTGTTATTTATGCAAATTTTACATGCTTCAACTTTTCGCCAAGTGCGTCGTGTCGTTTTCGATTATTTAAAACTTTGTACGGAATTTACTAGATTGCGATGGCGGAAAGGAGGAGAAGAAGAACAGAAAGTCTCCTTTTTAATGCGCACACCTGACGCGCTCTGCTGCGAATATCCTCCTCTGGGAGAGCTCCTCCTCGAACTCCTTGGTCCTTGGTCCTTAGGATTAGGGTCTGCCCTCTGTGCATAATTTTGTGCGCTGCTGTTGAGGCAAATAAATTCTTGAGACGGCTAAAGTTATTAGATTAGCATTAGAGAGCTGCTCCAAGGAGCAGGAGTGGGAGTAGGACAAACATCCCGGGGCCGAGCTTAGAATTATGATTTACCTGGGGTTATTTACATGCGCATAAACGAAATACCTCCAGCAGTCTCAAATTGCTCAAAATTTATGAAAAACTTACCTCACCGCTTAGCGAGTCATGTGGCTTTTATAGTTACCCAAAAAATAAACACAGGCGCGGCAATTTAAACATTTTTTATTTGTGTTCTTTTAATACATTTACAACAAAAAGTGGAAGTTTTCAGCATCAAGGAGCAGGATAAGTTGACTCCTATTATAAATATATATTGTGCTTAAAGTTTTTATATTTATATTGTGTGTCTTATGTTTTTAAATGTCTTTATTTAATGCAAAATTATATAAGTTATATTTCTCAGTCCCTTTTTATTTCTTGAAATTTATTTCCCAAGCCCTTAAACGAATGTTAATTCTAATTTGTTATATTTAAATATTATTTATAATTATAATCTAACTACTTATATATTTATTATTAACTTATGTATTATATTGTTTCCTAACCTAATCATAAATGTATCATTTTGTTAAAATTAACTGACTTTTTATTATTTCTGTAGCTTTATTATGGTTTAAAAATTTCCTAATTTCTTTGGTTTTTGCTTTATTTTTTTACTAACATGTGAGAGGCACCTTTTGCAGCCATTGACCTTCATAATTAAATACCTTTTTCTCTCTATTTTTTCCAGGTAAGAGATACTCAGAATCTCTTGCGGGCTCACTTCTACCAGACTGGCTAGGTAAGTCAACGTTTTTGTTATATTTTTTGTATACCCTTAGATTATAGTTTTACCCATGATTTAGTTTTTGAATTTTTGTGAGAAATCCTATTTTGAATTTTGCCATTTTTTATTCAATTTTCAATATATGTTGCAAAGCCATTTTTCTTTAGAAAAAAACACTCTATTTTTTTGATTTTGAGAATGCCAACTGTCCCCAAAAAACCCCAGACATATTTTTCGAAAGCCACAGAAACACACAAACAAAAACTGAAAAAAACGAACCCAAAACCAGTCCAAAAACTCCAACTCCAAAAATACATTGAGTCTATCCGAATCGAGCTTCTTTGATTTTTGAGTTGATTTTTTGCTTTTGATTGTTGTTGCTGTTGAATGATGTTGCAACATCATGACATCATCATCATCATCACCCTTGATCAATCATCCTCCCCCCGTTTGTCTTCATTTCGTGTCAGTCAAAAGGAAGCGTATCCTGCCAGAGTTCGAGAGGTAAAGCATAAAGAAAATTTTCAAATTCCAATAAATCTTTCTGTAAGTTCTGTGTTGTGTGCCTTACTCTACTCTATTACTTCCAATCTATATTTCCCTAGAACCTACTGTACATATCAACATATCCTTAATGTGTCATAGTTCAGCATGTGCATGCATCCCAAATAGGTGTTTTTGGCCAAATAAATTAAGCCACACTCTCTGTACATATAATATGGGAAATTATCAGCTCATAAAATTTACTCAAAATAATTGCCAATTATTCAGTTTGTCAACTCGATCATACGATGTGCAGTGAGAGAAAAATTCAAGGGAACAATTTGATTTGAAAATGAAAACAGTGAATTGTATTATTCATTAATAATGACGGGGGTTTAAAAAATTAAAAGTGAATATATTTTAACATCAAACTATAAAACAAGACAGTTCTCAAGTTGCTTTTAATTGTATTCACTTTATTTAAATCCAGGAAAATTCATATTAAAAAAATTTAAGTCGTGTATTATACTTCCCACCCTTAAAAAATATATAAATCTTTCTGTTTGATATTTTACATAATTTTAAACAAGTTTTTCAAGACATCAGCTTTAGACTCCAGCATGTTTTATATTAATTAAAGAGATAAAAGGTTACATCAACTCAAAATATTAAAAATAATCAGCTATATTTCCCAGTGCATGTAACAACCAAAACACTCTCTTACACACACATTTTCCTTTTGGTTTTTTTGGTGTGCAATTAAAAGCCACCCACCGCCCATCGAGTGTTAGGAATAGTATCATTTGGCACGCAAAGAAAATCAGCGAGAAAATTGGTGATGGCTGGCTGCGAAATTTTACAAAGCGTATCATTTTGTTAGCAGTTTTTCAGCAGGTTGCACTTGACAAGAATCGCCCCAAAGCACGCCAAATACATATATAGAAGTGGCACTGTGGTGCAACAACTGGTACAGTGGTACCTCCCCCGCACAGACAATTAAGCACACATTTAATTTACTTCGTTTAGGCACTCGGAATCGCTGTTAATTCCCTGTTTTTAGTTATGTTAACCAAACACTCGACAGACAACAAACATTTAAGAGCCACTATATATTGTACATACATATGTGTACATGTGCAAGCTCTGCGATTTTCTATATATATATATATAGATATATATATGTTTATGGGCAATTTATACAATCGCATAAATTACCAGGACAAACATAAACAAAACTTCCTTCCACCAACACAGAGAGAGAGAGTGCCATTTGCCAATCGTAATCAATTCCTGTCCATAAAAAAGGAACAGGGTCCTGGAGAGTCCTGTCCTGTCGCCGACAGTGACAACAACAAGTACGGTTCCAAGTCGGTGGCCATAGCCGTATCCGTATCCGTATCCGTAACCGCCCTCCAACCCCAAAAGCCCATTCCAACGCATAAATATTTATCTGAAATGTTGAAATCTTCAACTGCAGAAAACGTAAAATCCATTAGAAAATTAATAAAGTCTATGGCGGCGAAATGTTTTTTCTACGAATGCGGTTTTCCACTCTCACTCGCACACCATTTTCCCACCCCTGGCCCATTTTCCGGCTCATTTTTGTCATATAGAGAAAATTTGTGTCTGTTTTTTTGAGGGGCAAAAGAATGTATATTATGCCGACGCTAATAGAATAAAATCCAATCGATTACAATAATGTTTCTCTGTCTGGATAATGTTTTGGCGGATGAGGTCCTTGGAACTGTTGTTGTCAGCCTTTTAAGGATATAATCCATTAGAACAGTTAGACGCAGATGTCATAGGATATTTTTGTTTTATGAATTAAGTGGATATTTGCTTTTAATTGAAATTTATTTATGCGAGAGCAAATCCGCAATGGGATTGTCATTTACAATTCTAAGAAATATCTAAGAATTGAATGTATATAGTTATAAAAAGTCCAATAAACACTCCTTGAAAATTCTATCTGATCTTTAAAACATTTAGAAATCAATTTAAATCAGCCTCTCACCTTTGTTCAATCACTTATTTTGTTGATTTTCCATAAAAGATACATTTTCATTCCCAATAACTAAGCAAATATTCGAGATACAATCGCAAGATATGTAAATCTCCCCACTAGATGTCTGGTTCTTTGATCGTTTTGTTGGCCAGATGTTTGCACACACTTTGGAGTTGGCTTCATTATCATTTCGGGTGGGGTCTATTTATAAAGCGGGGGTATGGGGATGGGGATGAGGATGAGAAGGGAAAAACATGAACATGAATGGAGCAAATGTCTCGACAAGATCGACGCCAAGGCGTCGGTTTTCTTTTTTCCCCCACCGGCACGCAATTCGAAATAATAACATAATAATGTGCAATAAAGTATCTTAATTTGTTGAATTGTTGATAAACTTTGGCGCCACTTTGCGGATAAACATGAAACAAAGCAATTGGTAAATGTTACTCATACCCACGATGAACTGTTCCATTTGTTCCGAAATATGTAATTCTAATGATATTGGGCAGGTTTTGCGAAATACTTTTGAAATTGTTGTTGTTTTGGACTCGAAAGGACATATTTGAAAAGTTTCAACCTGCATTTCCGGTATTTTGATCTTTGTTTCAACTTTTGTTAAGTGGGAAATACACCGAACAGCATGGGTTTATCTTTAGGAAACTGATTTAAAAGGTGTATTTATAAGTTATATTTGAGGAAATTGTTTAAACTATATGGTAATGCTGTAAAGATTATTTAAATGTTTAAAAACTCATCTAAATATAATATTTAAAGCATTATTTTCATACTTATCTTAAGTTGTAAAACAAATTCGTTACACAAAACCCTCATCATAGATCTAGGATTTCCTGTTTAGTGTTATGACTTGTGACTTTGGCAGGTAAACACTTACTCACTCACACAGGTAGGGATGACATTCCGACGACTGCAACAAGTTGAATTATCTGCAAGTGCCCCCTTCCCCCCTCCCAAAAACACACACTCTCGCTTACATGTACTTGAGTGCACTTCCTACACTATCTCTGGCCGTTGGCCGTGTCCTCTTAATTGCCCCTGCGAGAGAGACTTGGCAAATTAGTTAATTGGCGGCCAGTTTACTTTGAACTGGCTGTGACACGACCTCCACGCTGGCCACTGGTCGACAATGTATCTCGTAGATGCAAAGATACATGCAGGGAAAAGGTATCACTATAGTTCTTCCCTGGCTTGAGATAGTGAGTGTATCTTTTAATTTATACTTTAACATTTCTTATACAGGGCGTAATTCAAGATAAAGATTTGTGTATTTATAAGATACATATTACTAATGTAAACGGTTTAGTTTTATATTTTATTTATTTCTTATTTTTAAATGAGTCACTGTATTTCTCTGGAAACTCTTTAAGCACCACTCGCTGACCAAATTCGAATCTCTTTGGGTCAAATTTGATGCTCCTTTGTTTCTTTTATTTGTGTCTTCAATCGACCTTTGAAAATGCCGCATTCTAACCATAATAACAGCACTTAATATACTTTTTTATATATATATTTATATATAGATATACCTGTATACCTTTTCATACACCGGTTATTTCAATATTCTTTGCTTTTGTTATTTCTTTGACTGTATCTTTGTATCTTTGATGTGGCTGTAATTACGGGGTATTAGCTTTCAAAAGTTCAAGATACTCTAACAAAGCGGGGGAAGCAGATACAAAGAGTGTTTTAAAGTTATTGTTAAATATCCTTTATATATATTACTTATAAAATAGTTTTAGTTACCGATACAAATATTTAAATACAAATTGTGGGAGTTTTTTGAAGTCACATAAATCATATTTTGGAACCATTAAATTAAAAATGAACGAACAGCATTCCACATTCCACGGACTCCCACTTTTGCTGATTAAATATTAATATTTTAAGCATTCATTGTCATTCGCTTTCAAATTAATGATTAATAGTCATCGAAATTTGAATAACAATTTCTGGCATTAGCAAACGGAATTAATATAGAATTAATATTTGTCTGCCACTTGATTCGCAAGCAATTAAAACACTCGGCCGTCAGGTGAACACCAACAACAATATTCTACAAAAAAGGCACAAACAATGCCTGCCAGTGGCTTTTATCGATTTTCTTTGGTGGCCATTAGATTTCGCACAGTTACCCATATTTTCCGCCATTTGGGAAACTCCCCCATTAAATAGGGGAGGGGAAACTGTGAAAGGGCCTGAGGCAATGTGGCAGATATTTTTCTTGTTCTTTTGCCAGCTCAGCAGATGAATGCGTATAATTTTCGGTGTGATTTATGCCCGTTGACCCCGCTTTGGGCCACCTTAGTGGCACACATGGCCAAGACCGCCCCCGTTAGATTTGTTATGGCTTCCAGCGAGGGAAGTACTGTACTGATGCTGGTGCTCCTGCTCCAGGATCCTGGATACAGGATCCAGGATACTGGCTCCTGGCTTTATCGCTGCGAATGCTAAACGCAGGACATCCATTTCGGGTTCGGGATCCAGGGGCGGGCTTTATTACATTAGGCGT